GTAGTTTTCGTCATTTATTTGGTAAAAATGAGTTTTCTCGGCAACGGAACAAAATTAAAAATAAAGCGATTCGTAGTTTTAAAGCTGACTATTCTACAGTTCCAATGAAGTAAGAAAGTCGGCATGATCTCTTCACAAAAAATCCTAGATAGAAGAGTTTGACAGCGGAAAACTAAATTTTTGTTAAACTCAAACGTTTTTTAAAATTTACGCCCTTCAAATTTCTTCAATTTTTTTTCCAGTAAAAATTGTTTTAAACAACTAAGAATCACATTTTCTTAATCAGCTCGACACATTTTATCTAACCATGTATAAATAAACGGAAAAAAATTTCTATCGTACTTTCGAAGTACCGACCGACACCTTACAAATATCTCACTTTTTATGCTTTCTTTAGACTTAAATAAAACTTCGATCTCTCGTGTTTTTATTGTTGTCTAAAAATAAATTTCAAGCTTTTAATCACAAGCTAATGAAAACAACTGTTTTCGATGTATTGGTGATCAATACGTCACTGAAATTCGTCTTAGATAATTGATTTCAGTTCACAGTATGTAATGCAATCAATATTCAATTATAAACTATATAAAAGTATAATAAACAGATGTTTACTATCCGTATTAAAATTCTGCTATAAAGAAAAAATTATAGTATTCGAAAATGTTAAGAAATTATAAACTGATTCTAAAAATGTTTTCAGTTTAGTTAAAGTACATTATACCTTAGCCGAAAAGAAAAATGAGTTTCAAGAACATTTTTGTACCATATAATGAAACTTGAGCTCTATTCATGCTGAAATCAAAATCAAAATAATTGTCTGTTGAATTTCAAAATATTTTGATTTTATGAATTTATCATCGTATCTCCAGCTCGTTCTTTTGGTAAGTAATCTGAAAATTCTATTAGCGCATGGGTTCGTTCTCGTTTTGAACATAAACAACAACAGGCTATTTTTGAAAAAGTCGATGGTAATTGTTGTTGTTGTTGTTGTTGAGGATGATGGCGAGCTGTATGACGATGTTGTAATGATGATGACGTATGGCATAAAATCATCGCTAAAAAGTCCTGACGGAATGTTGAGCCACTAGCACAGTACAGTAAAAAGTTGACCGAATGACAGAGATAAAAGAGCAGTCTTAACAATGTCCATTGTATGACATACCATGGTAATAATTGATATTTTGGTGGTGCAACGGCAATGTAAATGCTCGCTGGTGATGTGAGAGTGGTATAAAATAGACTAACAGTTAGTAGCATTCGTGTAATATTTCGTTTTTTTGATGATTTTTTACTTTGACTACGTTTGGTTGACTGATGAATGGTGCGTATTAGAAGACCATTGAATATGACCATGAGTACAAATGGTAATAGTGTGAATAGAAACAACGATATTTTTCCGTAATATTCACTACGAAATTTGTAATAAGTTTTGTATCGTTCTTTATCTACTGTACATTCCATTTTTAGCTCAGATTTCGGTCGTGTATCCGATAACGTATATTCATAATAAATGAAAAAATGTGATTCACATAAACAAACAATAGTAATTATTAAAAACAATTGAATAAATACACTTTTTTGTGTACATATCGACTTTTTTGATACATAAAAATACCGTTGCATCGTCACAATGACGAGAAGCACGGGTGATAAACGAAGAAAGACATAAGTCAAGTAAATATGAATACGACATGTCCATGTACGATAATATGGATTTGTAATAAAATGTTCCATTGTTCGTATATCAATTTTGAATGCATCAATTAAAAATTGTCTTAGTAGACCCGTAAAACATGTTCCAATTTCAATTACACATAGAACAGCTAAATAGCATGCCGTTGTTTGTTTACGTAAACGACGGTTAATTAGTACCAGAAATGATAATAGATTGCCAACAAAACATAATATCAGTATAAACGGTGAGATAGTTTTTGATATTATTTTTGTTATTTCAATATAATAATATAAATCTGTTGATGTTGTATTATTCATCTCGTTGCAGTTTATGAATCATGTTGAACTCTGAAACAAGTATGAAGAAATGAGAAGTTCTTTGTATAAATAACAGTAACAAAATGTCGTTTTGAAAGAAATTTTTTTTTACTGTCATACTAGAGTAGGATATATTTTAGTTGATTACTGATTATAGAAAAAATAATTATGTAATTCCCACAGTCTCCACTTAATTATACCTACTCCATCAAATGTAAAAAAGAAAAGTTCTCCAGTTCTCTACTTCTATGCGTTGTAAGTAAGATTCTTGAGAAGATTATTCATAAGCAGCTGTTATCTTTTCTTCTCGACAATAGGTTGTTAAGTGCTATCCAGTTTGGGTTTAGACCGTCTTCTTCAACGTTAGATGCTTTACTAAGAGTTACTCACTTTCTTTTTAGCAGTTTAAATAAGGCAAGTTCTGAAAAAGAGCATTGCATAGGGTTAAGCTTTGATCTGTCAAAA